TTTCACTCATTATTTAGCCATATCCATAAAAATTGCTTTAGAAGCCTGGATTTGCTGTGCCCTGCTCCTGTCAAACCTGACCCACAGCATGAATCTCTATTTATAGAGATTTATTCCGTGTTGAGCCATTGATTTACCATGCTAGAGGCTAGGTCATCACAGAGTGATCCATTCTGATTCATCACTGACTTCCTGGCCTGCTCCACCTTATCAGCTTGGCACTTGGCCTGTCCCATCCACAGCCAGTTCTTCTGCATTCACCAGCAGCACTGCTCTGCTCTGTCAGTGTTCCACTGCCCTGGACAGGTTCAGCTACCTGCTCCTCCTCCTCCAGGTGCCAATTAAACTGCACAGCCTCCTGTTCCCAAAGTGAGAAAACTCATTCTTGTGAATTCTTTTGGATGCATCACTCTGAATTTCCTCCAAACACTTGGATGACAGAGCCTACCAGGGAGTGAACCTGGCCTCTGAAGGCAGCCAGCCATGATTCCAGTCTCGTGTTCCCTGACTACAAATCCACCTGTATTTCACAATCCTGCAAGTATAAAGAACTTTGTTATGGCTTTGCATAGATTTGTAAAGGCTCTAGGTAGAGCATACAACTTTATGTATTAAACAGGCACCAATTTAATCCACCAATTTTAAGATTTATTTTTCCATGAGGAGCAGTTTGCATAGACATCTTCATTCTCCTTCAAGAAGTTCTAAGGCTTCATGAGTCTTTGTCTTACAGTGCCAATATTCTCTTAGTGTCAGTTGTTAAAAGCCAAGGATTTCTGAAGGTGTCATGGCTTTTAATGGGGAGACAAACAAGCAGAAAAGAAATGATTCTCATGGAGAGTATAACTTTTACTTATGCCTTACCCTAGTCCATTCAGTTTAACAAAATGACAAAACTGATCTACACCAGCCCTTTGATTTGGTGTGTTGAACCCTAATAACCCTAATGCAATTCCTGACCTTGAGAAATATTATTAAGATATAACACAAACATAGTTCCAAAAATCAATCCACTGCCTGATTACATAAAAAAGGGGGGGGGGGGGGAAGGAAAAAAAAACCTCATAGAGATTTGTCCACTTCTAGGGACATAGTACCTTGGTGAGATACATGGAACTTGCTGAGATCTGAGCTCCCCCAGTGTACACAGGTCCTTCCCCTGTCTGTGGTCAACACTCTTCTCTAGGGAAAATGATTATGTTTCAATAGAGGATTAATATAAATTAATTGATATTAATCAATGTAATAACATTTTATAATTGATTTGATAATTAATCAAATTAATTGATTCATGGGTTAATTGAAAGGGTCTGAAATGGGTTTCTGGTGTTCATTTTTATAATCTGGGACCTCTTTGATCTGAAATTTTACCCTTATCAGAAATGAGGATAGCTTCATGACCATAAAACAGATTAACTTGGATCCACTCCTCAGGATTAGTTTGTCTGCTCATGTTTGAAAGCAGTCCAAGGTACTCATGGATGACCTGGGAGAAAGGTTTTCTGAGAAAAAGATCTCAGTACACATGCTGTAGCCCTGGTCTGACTATAGGCACAGTGAATATCATAGTACTGTTACCACAGTAAAAATTAAGAGTGCAGAGAAAACAATGGAACTATTTTGATTACATAAAAGTGACATTTTACTTCATTAGAGTAAAAAACAATAGGATCTGGATATCTGGTGTCCATTCACTGCCTTAAAATCAAAATTATTTACTTGAGTCCTGATGGGAGGAAGAATTCAGATATTATCTTAAAGCTATGTCCTTGTGTTATCTATAATGTTTTTTTCTTTCTGCTCTGGCCTTGTTTGTTACTGTTTATGCTCAGTTTTAATCCATCAGGTTTTGTTCCAGGTTTGAAGATCTGAGCCTAATCCATTACTCTTATGGTTGGTCACCTATCCTACTGTTTTCTTGCCCAGATCCATCACTCTTAGTTCTTTAATTTAGTTTGTTCTGCCCATTTTACACCCAGTTTCTCAGTCTTATTCAAACCTATTGTTTCACTCATATCTGTAAGCCCCAAAAAACCAAAATACAGCTTCCTCTGGGCTAACTTATTCATATTCAGTTTCTATCCACATGTCAAGAAAATAAGCAGATTTAGAGTGGATGGAGGAAAAATGTAAGAATGTTGTGATGGCAGTAAATTATCCATATTATCTGAACCTGAGTTTTAATAAAAATTAATAATTTAATTTAAAAATTAATTTAATAAGAATTTAATAAGAACTACTTGATTTGTGAACATGGACACCTGGCTCTCATTCTCTCAGGTGAAATCATGTATTTTCCTCTTACAGGTAGCAGCTTAGCCATGTGTTGAGGTATGGAGGATTACAGCAGTAAGATCTCACCCCACTTAGGCCAAAGAGGTGGCAACACACCTCAGAGCTATCACTGATGTGTTTTAAGAGACCCCTTCCACCTGCCTTATATGACAGAAACACTTAAGTACAAAGACACTGAGGGGTCAACAGCAATCTGCTCCAGCTGCCATCCCAAGCCATAATAATCCTGACACATATTCAACTTTGTGGAAATCTGGATGCAAATTTTTCCTTTGCAGAGGCTGTGTGGACAAGCATGTGGAGCTGAAAAGATCCTGAACATTTTTTCTAAGTGGTGTGGCCTACTAAGGAATATGAGGAAATGACCAGTTTCATTTTTCCTCTTCAGTTCTCTTCTAAGCTCTGAAAGGCATCCTGGTTCAGCCTTACTCCTGGGTTAGGAGCCATAGAGACTTTGTGCACTGTTGTAACTTTCTGTTCTGGGCTCTTTCTCCCACATTATCTCAGTGGAACTCAGTGACATATCCCAGCTCACTGCCTGGCCTGACACAATGGTGTCAGTTCTTTGTTCCTTCCTCTCAAGCAGAACCACTCACCATCACCTCCACACCTCCTCATTACTGGCTCCTAATAGCTCTTCCTGTACAAGAGGTGCAAAATACCACAGGAGTGAGTTACAACATCCACAACCCACCCATTCCATCTCTGATAATGGAAGGCATTGGCATTGCCAGCACATTGCCAATGTGTGTCAGATTATCCCCGAGGCTAAACCATTTGTTAGCCTTTAAAGACTCATTCCTTATTACCAGTGGGATGAGGTTTTTGAAGCCAGTAAGGATAAATCTCACAAGAAATGTCTATACTGTCTTAAAAGTTAAATTGCAGCTCAGCACAGACTCCCTGTTATACCATCCCTTGCAGCCAAGTTTGAATGGAAATAATAGAAAATTACATTTACTCTGGCCTAATCTGTCCTGCTGCATTGTGTTACTCTGGCCCAGGTACAGAAGTCTGCTGAAGTTTGTTCTGTTCATGCAGTTGCAGTACATTTTGCCATGACCCACCTCCATTAACCCTCTTTCCTGGCCAGGTTTAAGCCCAGCACAAGGCATGAATTCACACGGTGCAAGGATCAGCCAAATTTTCTTACCTTGATGAGGGCTACAAAGGCAGAGCATTTGGGAGTCCTCATTCACAGTTGCCAACTCGGCTCCTCTGTGCACTGTGTGTTCACTCCTGTCTGTGAAGGTGCTGGGAAAACTGCAGTTTCCAGAGGCATTGGGCAAGGAAGATCCATAGATAAGAGAGATCCTCCAGTCCTCAGGATGTTCCAGGGAAGTGGGGCTGTAGAACCTGTGGAGGTCTTTGTTCTGCACTGGGGAGTGGGACCCTTGCAGTGTTCTGTCTCCCAAGGGGTCACGTTTCACACGTTAAACCCGTTTGGCAGTGGCAGAGAGTGACTGAGAAATCAGATAGCAACAGAGGATTAAGAGGGGAAATGCTGCAAAAGGAATATTAAATTACCCCTCACCTAATTCAACACTACGTTTTCATTGGGCCATCATCAGCATCTATGATTTCTGAAGTGATTCAAAAGGGCTGGTTCATACCAGAATTTCTCTGAGTCTTACAATTCAATCTGTGTCCCCTTCCATTAATTTAAAATTATTTGATTACTTTTGCCTAAGTATGCTAACTCAATTCCCCAGAAGGCTTCAGCTGAACTTCCACACCAATCTTTATCTGAAAACTCTTCATAGCACACAGATTCCTCTTGTCTGACCGTTTTCCAGTAACCTTTTACTGCCCAGTCTTTGCACAAACCACATTTGAGCATGATGTTACCTCCTTGTTCTGCTTTCAAATCTGGGAAACCACTCTTAAGGAATACAATTGCAGTAAAGCAGATAACACCATTAAAATACTAAGCAAGATTTAAGAGCAAAGAGCTACACTTTCATAAAATATTATGACAAGTGTACAACCCAGACAAATGAGAGTGTCACATCCACTTCAACCTCCTGCACAGCCTGGTTTGCTCACATGTCCTAAGTATGGGTCAGCCACGCTACCTGCTGCTCTGATTTGTGCTTAACTTTGTTAAATTGCATTTTTACATCATTATATTTCAATGGAGGTGCTTTCTCTGATCCCTTTGACAGGGGTTCTTTGGACAAGCTAAGTTACCTGTTCATGACAGGAGTGAACAAGAGTAACAGATGGACCTGCTCTTGCTCCTGTGGCATTTCCAGTGGCCCACAGCAGCACAGGGTTATGACTGCAGCTGTGGCACAGGATTGATTTGCCCCAATTTTTTCTTGTGTATATAATTTCCAGTTATTTGTCTATCATTTCTACTGAGAGCAATAGAAAGCTTAATGAAGTCAATCAGCTAATGATTACATTGCTAAAATATTGCTGTAGCTGAAGATACAGCTAATACTGAAAAAGGAAAGTTGAAAGACTTCAAATATAATCTAATTTTCTTTTGATAGTCCACATACATTTAGGATTTGTATAATCACACGTGTTTTTAATTAATCAGATATTTCTATAACTTGAACAATGAGGAAGGGGCCTTTTGTCAGAAATTAATGAGTAAATGATTGAAGCCTGTTAGTAGTGTATCATTCAAATTCTCAAATTATCATATTGTTAGGACATCTTTTCAGCAAATAATATAAGACAGCAGAAGACAAGTATAATTGCAGACCCTAATCTGTGGGGACCATTTGTGAATTTTCAAACTGACTTTATTCAGATGCCTAAGTACGGTCATTTTGAGTATCTCCTTGTCAATTTTGATATGTTATTAGGATGGCAAGAAGCCTGTGCTTGTAAACATGCAGATGAAAGGACAGTTGAAAAGCAGAAAGTTGAAAAAGAAGTTGCTAATAAAAGAAATTTCTGGGTTTTGTAGTCTCTAGCTATGGAGACCCACTTTACGGACTAATCCATGCAGAAAATGTGTGCAGTGCAGAGGGAAACTTCCTTTGCCCATTGCCCTCAGTTTAGTGGGGCTGTAAACAGCAAAGGCTTCACATTCTTTGTTTCAGGAGCTTGTCTCGAGCTGTCCTTGCGCACTGGGCACATCCTCTTCACCTGGATGCTGCTGGGGCTCAGCTCCGTGTCCCAGTAGTACTCTGGGGACAGCAGGCGTGTGGGCCTGTGATGCAGAAGGTACTTGTTGAGGTGCCTCTCATGGTGCCACCAAGCCTCAATTCCATTTTCTCTGTCCTCCATCAGCCCTTCAGAACAGGCTCGGGTCAGTTTGTAGACCTCAGACACGCTGCCCCCGTAGAAGCTCGCTGAGTAATGGAAGTCCCCGTGTCCCTCAGGGATGGCAGCTTGTGACTCAGGGTGTGTCTCATGGTCATTGTTCTCGATCTGGGAAGTGATCTGCCAGGAGCTAATGGTTGCCACCAGGGCATCAATGATCTCCACACCGATGTCTGCCAGGAGCTGGACATCAACGTCCACGGAGTACAGATAGTCCACCTCGTACTGGAACTGGCTGTGGATGTATGAGCTGATGATGTCCATACGGCTCGTGGGGATGTCCTGCCACCTGCGGTCATTCTGGACAGGGATGACAAACAGGTGGTTCTCAGGGGCCATCTGAAGGTGAGAGATCTTCTTGGGACTGTCTGTGAACAAGTAGAAATTCACGTGGTGCCCAGCAAGGAAGTACTTGTTGGCAGATCTCATGAACCCTTCTATGAACTGGACATATCTAAGAGACATGGAAAGGAAAAGAATGGAGAGAGGTTCCTCTTGCTGAAGAATGACAGCTTTTCAAGTTCATTTTCTTTGTCTTTTTCTATCCATTGCTCCTTACAATGTTAGTGCTCTTTATTTAGCTCAGCTGCTGTCCTTCAAGCCTTTCCCCATGCTGCTGTGCACATTATAGCACATTTTAGCTTTCACTTCACACAGAACACGTGCCTTCCACCCAGTGCTGCTCTCCAGCATCACTGTTGAAAAGGTGAATGATTCCTCTCATCCCTCCCTGTTACCTGCTCCCTGGCACTCTTTCTGCAGTGGAATATTTTAACTTCCTAGAGAGGAATTTAGAATCAACAGGGAATCATGGAATGGTTTGTGTTGGAAGGAGCCTTAAAGACCATTTCATTCCACCACCTGCCATGGGCAGGGACACCTTCCCCTATCCCAAGGTGCTCCAAACCCTGTCCAGCCTGGCCTTGGACACTTCCAGGGATCCAGGGGCAGCCCCAGCTTCTCTGGGCACCCTGTGCCAGGGCCTCCCACCCTCACAGTGAGAAATTTCTTCCTAACATCCGATCTAAATCTATCCTCTTTAAAGCCATTCTCCCCCATTCTGTCACTACCCACCTTTGTAAAAAATCCCTCTCCCATTTTCCTGTGGGGCCCCTTTAGGTACAGGAGGAACTCTAAGGTCTTCCTGGAGCCTTGTCTTCTCCAGGCTCCACAACCACAACTGTCTCAGCCTGTTTTCATAGGAGAGGGTCAGAATCATCAATTAAATAGTTTTGATTGCTTTGAAATACCTGAAGTCACTGTGTAACTCTAAGATGCTACTCTAAGATGTAACTCTAAGTGGAGATAGAGGGATAGGTTCTTTACTCAGAAACTGGAAAAAGAACCTCCCCAAGAACATACAAACTGTAACAGTATGATTAATAATATTACTAGAGCTAATATTTTAACTATAAACTCTTATGGAAACCCAATAAAATCTCACCTTTAGATAATGTTTCTAATTCTTAGTGCAGGATAGAGGGAGGGCTTGTTGTTAGAAATGTAGCAGGAGCTAGAATTTTTATTTCAATGGGTCAAAATGCTAGCTGTATTTCCAAGGATATTTTCTGTCCTATTCCAAACAATGTCCCAGCCAGTTGGCTTACTTTGGAAGGTGACACTCACATGTCACATTTCTCCCAGTCTACAGCTGCTCATATTCAGTCTTTGGAATGTTTCTCACTTGTGCTCCATGAGCAGTATTGCAGCATAACTGCCAGGTGAGAGGTTTAACTGACAAGAAATAAATGACAAACCAATACTTTTCAACAGCAAAAGTGACCACTCCAGTGACCAAGTTCTTCTGCAGATATTGAGCATTCAGGATGTCTCTGTTGAACGTGCCTTCCCAGACAATTGGAGCCAACCATGGTGTCAACACCAGCACATCCTGTCTCCTGCAAGGGGTTGGGAATGAAAGCAATGTTTAGATGGCCCAGGAAATTCATGAAGACAAACACAAGCTTCTTCAGCACAGATGTTTACCTCTGAGTTGATCATCCCAGTCTCCCTTTGGAATCACTAAGGGTCAAGAAAGTACTGTCAGCAAAATCTGAGCTGTGTGCCATCTTATCCTGGAGCAGATACCTGACACAGGTGTCTGTCCTTGCTTGTCACCCACCAGCTCCTGAGCTGTTCGTGGCTGTCACTCAGAGGCAGCTTTTCACAATCCAGCCATTCCTTAGTACAGAGCACAGCACATCCACCCATTGTTCCCAGCCTGGCTCTTCTGGAAAGCTCTCAGCCCTCCGCTGCTGTGTTCCAGATGTGCAGCTCTCCACCCTGATTCTGGGACAGCAATTGCACCACAGATTTCTGACTGCACCACAGATTTCTGACTGCACCACAGATTTCTGATTTCACCACAGATTTCTGCTCCTTCTGCTCGCTCCCTGTGTGTTGATGGAAGCTCTTCAGCTGGGCTGTTGATCTCCTCCTCTTTAGGACAGAGCACTCCCTAATTCCTTTGGGATGATGGACAGGTATTTCCCTGATGCTTCTAGGGTGTTGTTTACTGCTTTATCTCTGACACTCAGGAGAACATCCCCTTCCCACAAGGAATGGAGTTTAGAGCTCTGCTAATCAGTTCAGCCAGGCTATTTCCAGAGCAGATGTGAGACATTTCTCCGCTCTGTGCTGAACAGTCCCAGCTCTCTCAGCTTTGCCTAAGAGGAGACCTGCTCCAGCCCTTCATGATCCTTTATTAAACTCTCTCCAGTACATCCATACCTCCTTTACTATTTTTTGAATTTTGTTTTGGTTTTTTTTCTTAGTGCAGATGGCTCTATAATAGGCAATTCCAGAAAATAATTTATCCCAGTGACCTAAAATGTTCATTCCACAGGCTTTTACACATCATGATGCTGACTGTTACCACTAGAAATAGTATCAGCCAAGGCCTCTTTTTTTTTAGGTTCTGAGATGAGTGGTGACAGAGGATAAAAAAAATGAATTAAGGTAAAATATTTTCAGCATTCACCATAATTTCTCAGTTTCCTTTCTGAAAGTAAAAAATAGAAGATTCTTCATCTATGCATTTCTAATGGTTTCTGGAAAAGCTGCTTTTCTAGTTAGACATTCTCTCCTGTTCTCCAGTCTTGCTCTCAGCTGTCCTGACCTTTCTGTGCAGTCAGTCGTGTGTTTCTGAGAACAATGAGATTTCACATTAATGAAGCCAGAGGAGTTACACTTACCATGGAAGCAGCAGAGATGTTTCATCTAAGTCTGTTTTCCTGCAGCTGAGGGAGAAATCAAAGATACATAAATCCATCATGGCACAGAAGTTTTGGATTTTCTTTATCTGAGAGATGAGCCCCACAAGAGATCTTTCAGTGTTTCAGCAGTACTGCCCTGTGATTCCATGTCAGTGAGTATTCAGTCAGACTCCATCACAAACACTATTATATTATTTATACTAGTTCATATACAATGTGAACTACATTTAACAGACTACTCAGCTGGTTTAAGTAGAGCTGAATGCAAATTAAAATTTTAAGTTTTTAAAAAAGTTAAAAAATTAAAAATTTAAATTAAAAAATTTAGAAGTTTTAAAATTATTTTCAACATGTCTGTTTCTGTGGTGCATCCTCAGAAAATTCAGTTTTACTTCTACACAGTGAGAGCCTGGTCCAGTAATGCCAAACACCTTGCAAAAAGTCTGGATTTTTCTGACAGGTTTATGTCCATAGGACACAGAGCAGAGGCCACTGCTCTCCATTCTCATTGCTTATGCATGTTCACCAGTCTTGATTCCTAGATTTTCCACGAGGAAAAACAGGTTCTGTAAAGTGGAAACACTAAAAGTAACAGATTAAATGGGCTAATAGAGGGACATTAAAAGAATCACATGTGCACAAAACCAGAAAGATATCTAGCCATATTAATATTTTTTGGGGGTGGTAGTATGAAAATACTGTCTCATACTGGAATATTTTAAATTTCAAATTAATTACAAAAAGAATGCATAGTTTTTGTCATATTGCTTTATTGGCATTAAATATTTCTCCCCTAGTCATATATGCAGGACTCCTTAGAGCAGAATTTCTAGAGAATTACACAACTGTCTCTACTATAGAAGTGATGAAGAGGGGAAACTGAAGTGAAAAAAACAGTGGGGATAAGAAAATTGTAATTCATAAGACTAAAAAAGAAAATAATAAAATATGGTTCAGTTAAATGAAACTAAGTATTAAAAACCCAAAAACTTTCAGTCTGGTTAACTACCAGGTTAAACTCTTTCTTGATTCCATATCCAGAATCTCATCAAGTTTGTGGACAGCACCATCAGAGGGAGTAGGCAACATGCCAAAGGGCCCACATTTTTTTAATGAATACAGAGGAAGCCTGGATGTTCCTTGTACAGGGACAGGGAGCTTCTAGGTGTCCAAACCTGTGGGATTAAGCTGCTTTTTCACTGCATGATTCTGGGGCAGCTGTGTTCATGGATTCACATTTGCCCATATAAAGTCTCTGGAATCTGAGCACTGCAGGATGGCTTGTGCCAAAATGGAAATTAGCATTGTCTTGTGGTTAAAAATGAGTCTTTTCAGATGAGTGTTGTCCTCATCTGTGGCATGAATAATGAACTTACAGTACTGAACCCTCTGCAGGGGAGGCTGCGTGTTCCCGGTCTCTGGCTGGGGAAAAAGGGTGGTGGTACCTTGGACAGGGTAAGAAAGCAATGAGTCAATGATAAAAACAAAAATCAACCTCTCCTCCACTTCCTTTGTGACTGAAACTATAAAACAAAGCTGACAGAATGCACGTTTGTGAGATCAGTGTGGTGATGCAAATCTCAGCTGTTTCGAATGAAACTTTACCCCAAAGTTATCTGGAGATCTGTTAACTCTGAGGATCTGTGAATGATTTAATTTGTCCAAGACTAGTTGCACCAAACAAAATGTGTCTGCTTTGCAGCAGAGCTTGGTCTCAGCTGGTGCCAGAAACTGACTGCAGCTGCCTCTTGAAGCAAGGTGTTCACAGCATCACTTTGCTCTGGCCAGCACATGGGATCTCCTCTGATGTCAGCCTGACTGGACTTTTAAACAAAAATATGAGCATTTGTGCCAGACTCTGCTGCAGAGAAGCTGTATGGGTGAAAAGCTTGTCCTAATTCCTCCAGCTGGAGCAGATTTTCAATTTTGTTCCAGCAGTTTCTGAATTAACCCCACCTGATCATGAAAATCAAGGGAGACTCAAACCAACCATGTTGCAGAATAAACACAGCTAAATCCACTCCACAGAGTTCCAGCTCTGTGCCAGGGTCCTTGTGCTGGTCTGGAGCACAGAGGTGTGGGATGTAAACAAGAAAACACACACTGGGGCTCACAGGAGTATACAGAATGAATCATCATTTTAGAATTTCACAGGAGAGGCTAAAAGTGTCCACACCTTGCTTACTTTTATCTTTTGAGTAAAAGGGGATTTTGAATTTAGCTTTGTGTAAATTCTTACGTTTTATCTGCACAAGTGTAGTTAGAAGAAACCTGTCTCAGTCTGGGCAATAGAAATATATGCTAATTAAGAATAATTATCAAAGGTTAAACACCCACCAGATTGCACCAGTGATTCCTGCTGTCAGTAGAATTGCCAGTCCATGTACTTTTGTGATTCCCATGTCCTTAGTGCTGCAAAAAAGATGGTGAACTCTGAATTGAGAGCAAAGTGGAAAAAAACCTTCAGAACACACACAAAAAAGGCAGAAAATACTGTAGTTATTAAATACTGAATACTGAATTTTGTTTTACCCTGCAGGTCTGGACATAATATGGAGAAAAATTACATTCTCTAGATAGGAGGTTTTACATCTAGGTATTTATAATACATACTACATCTTTACAATAGATATGCCACAAACTGAGCTCTCATTTTAAAACAGTACAGTAAACCATTTTAAATTGTTCAAACCAGTAATTCTCATTTCAGATTTTCTCTGAATCAGGTTTTATTTTTCCCTCAGCCAGTGCTTGCTTTCTTTCTCTCTTTTTCTCTCTTTCTTTCTTTTTCTTTCTTCTTTCTTTCTTTCTCTCTTTCTCTCTTTCTCTCTTTCTCTCTTTCTTTTCTTTCTCTCTCTTTCTCTTTCTCTCTCTCTTTCTCTTTTTTTCTCTCTGTTTTTCTCTATCTTTCTCTCTCTCTCTCTCTTTTTTTCTCTCTTTCTTTCCATCTAGTTCTCCTTTTTGGCCTTGGTTCCTTTGATTCCTTGGGCTTTCTACTCTGTCTCTCACTGCTGCTCTAGGTCAGCTTCTCCATCCTTTCCATGTCTGTTCTCAACTGCAGTTCAGCCACATCTTCCTTTGTGCCAGCCTTCTGAAAAGGCTGTAGCATTGTTTGTCAATATTTCCATCCCCTCTTTCAGCTGCTCTTCAGCATCTCCTCCTGGTGTAACCCCATCCACAACACTCACCCGTGGTTCTTTCAATCCCCACAGCTCAGCAGCTCCTGTTGTTCTCCTGCGCTGCCCCAGCTGTGCTCACACACCTGTGTGTGTCACAGCACAGCAGATCCTCCTGTCCCAGCCATGTGTCAGCCCTGGGCCCCCACCCTGCTCCTCACCTTTTGTGGGAGTGCTCTCCTGAGTGATGGGGAAACAACAACAAACCTGCCCCAGCCACTCATCCCTAACCCTGCAGCTGGTGCCTTTATGGATTACCTAAAGGCAGAGTTCCATTTATTGAAAAAAACAGTTCTATTTATTGAAGGGCCTTCAGGTGCATTTAGGGCAGACAAAGCTCCCTCAGGGGCTTCAGCCAAAAAATGAATGACAGGTCAAGGGTTTTCACATTTTTATAAGTTTGGTCCAGTTGCATATTAGGGGTTAATCTTCCATTTACAGCTTCAGGTAATGAAGTAATCTATCCCCAGTTTGCTCCCCCCCAACTCACTTTTGTTTCCATCTCTCAGGGCCTGAGGCAATGAGGTTTCCTTGATTCCCAGGCCTAGAGAGGAATTGTTTTGTCTGACCAAAATGGGAAAGCATCAGCTGACACTGTATATGAAGTTTAGAGTTATACACTGAAGAATCTCAGGATTACAAATACACAAAAAATAGAAAAGCTAAAATCCTAAGGCATCACAACATTCAGATCTCTAATGAGCAAGAAGACAACTGCCTAAACTTCCAATACAGAGATTTTTTTTTTTCTTTTTGGCAAAAAGAAGTTTTTTTGTAAAAGTTGTCCTAGAGGTAAATACCTGTAATATAACACTTCCAACCACACTGAAATGAAAGCGCTTCTTGTAGTCACAGGAGAGAAATAAACACTTTCAGGTAATTTCATAATTAATTTAATCTTGAAGGAGGCCTTTAGATACACCAGAGCTAAAGGATGCTTAAGAGAGTGACTCCATTGAGAATTTATCTTCATTTACATACAGAAAATACAGTTGTCTACAAAGCATTATTCAAGATCTACATTAGGTGATTCTGTTCTGTTGGTGCCAATCTGGTACAGGATATACATGCCTGAAAATGAAGCTTACTCTTGATTTAAAATGCTAGGAGACAGAAGGTGTATGAGAAATAATGAAATAGGCAGGCTCAAGAAGGGGTAGGTGAGGAGAAACAAGAAAATAAGGCATAAAAATGAAGTGGTCACATATGCAAAATTATTAAATGTTTTGCAGAGTTCTCTTGCACCTAGAATTATTGCTGTTTACATCCCTGAAGATAATTAATTTAATTCTCAGTGAATTTAATTGATTCTCTTTCTGAGAAGCAGGAAGAGGGGGTGTAGCAGGCCTCAGTTAGACTTACAAACCCAGTTTTTCTTAATTTCATCCTCCTATTCTGGTCTGTAGGCATCCAGAATAATAATAAATAAATAATAACAACATCAATAAATATATAACTATTAATAAATAAATATAGAAGTATTAATAAATAAATATAGACATATTATTAAGCAACATAAAACAATCATAATAATAAACAACAAAATTGGTTATTTATGACTTTAATTACACTTGGTACAACTCCAAATGTCTATCCATAGTTCCAGCTGTTGACACGAATTTCATCAGAGCATCGATAAATACAACAAAACACAAAATCTGTCTTCAAGTATGCTGTTAATAACACCCCACCCCAAGTGATCCATGTCCCCTGATCAAATTTAGCTGGCATTAAATCCAGAGAGTTGATTGCTATAAACTCATCACATCACATCACATCACATCACAGCATTTCCTCCCCGTGCTCTGTCCTCTATTGCTGTGATGAACTCTATGAGATTTCTCTTTGAAGTAACTCCAAGGTGTATCAGGGTCCAGAAAAGTGTGTTGTCAGTTCCATGAAACAGACTTTGTGAGTTCTGGGATCTTTAACTCCGCATGAAGCTTAAAGGTGTGTTTAATGAACAACTCAAGATTTCCATGGATTAACTTAGAAACTGAATTTATTTGCAAAAATATATTCAGGGCTGCCTGAAAACTTAACAGATTTCTTCTGGAGTGCTTCAGTGTTCTCTTTTTGTTTGACAATACCTTGAAATAAGGCCTGAACATTCTGACTGTCTGCGTGGGTTACATTTATTTGCACTCTACTTCTTATGAGAATCAGATTTCCAGAGATGAAGTCTTAACTTTCCCAAGCAATGGATTTTCCAGCAGCACAAAGCTGAAGGTCCTGTAGCCACACATAAGTGTCTGGGATACATCTTCTTTATTTTAATCCTCTGGAGAAGGGAACAGATTGTTAATGCTTTTGGTATCCAGGACATCTTCCTAGGTCTGGAAGACCCCAGAAAATACAGAGCTGAAGGCTGTGAAGATCACTCAGCAGTGTTTGAAAAGAGACATGTTTTGGAAATTGAATCCCAAACAGTTTGGAACCTTTTGAATGAGGTGAAACACTGTCCAGACTCTTTCCTGTTGACTCTCTCCCCCCTCACTTTATTGGGAGTTCAGTCATGTAGTTCACACATGGAAATTTGCACTATTCTCACTTGTATTTGGGGATCTTCTCTCTGGGCTGTATCTCACTCTAAGCTGTAAGCATGTCCAGGGACTTGCATTTCCCCTCTGAATGGTGTCTTTCACACCTAGAATATTACTGATACCTAATGCTTGGGTGCTACTTTCTCTGTGGAACCTCAATATTCAAGACCAGTGCAATAATTATTTAATGTATGGAGAAACTAAGGCACTGATAACTGAAGAGTTTTATTGGTCAGAGCTACCCATCATGAGCCACCAGCAAAGTACAAATGTCCTGAGTTCTAGTCTGATGCCTTGTCACACAGACAGCAGTGACTTTGGAGAAAGAAAAAAAATCAAAGTCTGAATGGTGCTACAATAAATAGCTAGTTAGCACATAAAAAAATTAACAAGCAAACAACCACCAGCAGAGCAACACCTTCCGTGAGATTTAGAAAAAGGAGGGAGATTTATTCCCTCTAATTCTGTTCCCAGTTCTCTTGGGCTTTGAAGGATAATGTACTGAGAGACATTTTAGCATCCTGGGAAATCTTGTGCTCAGCTGAAGCGACAGAAGCGGGCAGGAACTGCTTCTGCTCACAGCTGTTTACAAAGCTGAGCTTCCAGCCAGTGGGAGAGAACCAGAAAAGCAAAGGGGTAAGGTTTTAGCTGAATGAAAGAGAGAAAGAAGCATAGATACTGATCTCTTGTTCAGTCAAAGAGCATTTAATTTCTTTTCCTCTAGGTTTGTTAGAGGTGTTTCTTCTCAACTGATCTCACCTGAGCTCTGAGAATTCCCACACAATTTGTGAGTGCTTTGGAAGGGGCATTCCCAGTTCTTACCAGGAACTGGAGAGACAGGACAAGGGGGAATGGCTTCAAACTGGAAAGGAATAAGTTTAGATCAGATATTGGAAAGAAATCCTTCCCTGTGAGGGTGGGCAGGCCTTGGCACAGGGTGCCCAGAGCAGCTGGGGCTGCCCCTGGATCCCTGGCAGTGCCCAAGGCCAGGCTGGACATTGGGGCTGGAGCAGCCTGGGACAGTGGGAGGTGTCCCTGCCATGGCTGGGGTGGGATGGAATGGTCTTTAAAATTCTTCTAACCCACCCCATTCTGGGATTCCTTGATTCCGTGAGTAGCTTTCAAGAGAAACATGGACATATTTCTCAAGGTGTGAGAGAGGAGAGGGATTGCTTGGAAAGGAAAACAGAGCTGGATTTAACAGATTAAAAGACTGGAAATATGGAAATTTCTTATTTTACTTTGTGTGCTTTTAAAAATCTTATCACCTCTGTTGATAAGTTAAATATAACCTTTCCCTCACTCTCTCTGTGTTTTCTACAGCAGTACTTCTGAATATGTTTATGTGGTAAAAAAAGGCATTTGTATTCTATTTTCAGTGGACTAGAATGTAAAAAACATTCACCATTATTTTTAACCTGAAAAGCTTCATTCTTGAAACATGGAAATTATCTTTCTGTGCCACCTGAGGGTGATTGTTATTTGAGGACAGGCACCTGGAATGATCCAATTAATCACCCTTTTAAAATTAAACTAGTGCCAGTCAATTTTTTAAGGTAGATCTGGAATTTTTAAAGCCTATATTTGCATGGGGAATCATAATTTTTCTTTTCTCTTTTTGATACTTTTTTCATTCAAGCACTTTTCAATTATGGTTTGTATTCTGTAGCATGGTAAATCACTTAAACTAGGTTTTTTTCCTTGTGCTGCTTGAATCCCTACTGTCTATACTGGAAAATGAGTTACCTGCCTTACCTGTCAGTATTTACCACAGCTTAAATCTCATGGAAGGCTGGGATATGTGAAAGCCATCTTTAGAAGTGAAATTGTATTTAATATCCTGTCACTTTATTATTTGGCAGCAGTGGTGTAATTGTAATGAAATATGTAAGTTATGTAATCAGATTGATTCTATACACATTATCTCTATACAAGAGAAAAATTTAATTTGAAATAAATATTTTGAATCTCAAAGACAAATAATTATATTACAAAAATGCAAATTTCTTTGTCTTCATAACATTAATGGATTTTCTTTCTTAATGTGATATATGAGAAATATTTTGTGAATAACAAATACTGAGCATCATTCTACAAAGTCAGTTGAGTATTGGATAGGAATGTGCAGGAATAGGTAAAAAATATTTGAAACCTTCCCTAAGAAGTGGATAAGAAGAGGCATAAGCATCAAACTTCAGGTATTTTGTGAAAAATCAATATTAATTCTATCAATTAATGCAGAAAAAAAATTATGGATGACTACTGTAATTAGTGTAATCTAAGGCTCTAGGTAAAAACTGTTATTTGGGGGGAGAAGTGGCCTATTTTAGTCAATCAATTGAAAATGAGAGAAATTTTCAGATGCACAGGTCCTTTCCAATTTCAAAAGAAAAACCCTAAATGCATATATCCCTTAACCCTAGAAAACTTATTGAAAGTATTCTGTGTGAGAGAACAAACATTTCCTTCTGCAAATATTCATGAGTAAGGGAGACAGTAAAACAGCTCAAGCTGAGTTTGCTGTGCGTGAGTGCAGTCACTCAGCAAGACTGTGCTTCTGTCTGGGGGGCAGCTCACAACTGAGATCAAATACACATTTAATAATGTTTTCTCTTCCCCTCTGTGTTTTAAGTGAAGACAGGGGTAAGAAGGTCTGTGAAGAAATCTGTGAAGCCCAAATATTTTCTTGGATCCAGGGTTTGAATCATCAATCCTCTTGTAGGACACCAAGAAACTTCAGATGTGGTTAAGTAATAAGGAATGTCAATTAAATAACTGGTGTGGAATCTCTGCTTAAATTGTCTATTTGCAAGTCCAGTATGGAAAGGATGCTTGGGGGAGATAATAAAAAGTGTTCCCTATTTATTTCCTTTTTCCTCCTCACACATTCCAGGTCTTCAAGGTCATCATGGCACAAGGAAATGATACCCACATCCATGAGTTCATCCTCGTGGGCTTCCCCACCACTCCAGAGCTACAAGTTCTGCTGTTTGTGCTTTTCCTTGCTGTGTATTTGCTGACTGTGGCTGAGAACATCGTTATCATCACTTTAATCATCACCAACCACCAGCTCCACAAGCCCATGTACTTTTTCCTGGGCCATCTAGCTTTCCTAGAGGCCTGCTACATTTCCGTCACCGTTCCCAAGCTGCTGCTCAACTTGGTGGTGAAGGATAAGAACATCTCCTTCACAGGCTGCATGGCCCAACTCTACTTTTTCATTGCCCTGGTGTGCACCGAGTGTGTCCTCCTGGCTGTCATGGCCTACGACCGCTACGTGGCCATCTGCACGCCCCTGCACTACGCGCTCGCCATGAGCCGCAGGTTCTGCGTGCAGCTGGCCACGGGCTCTTGGCTGCTTGGCTTTCTGACAGCTGTGCTCAAGGTCTTCTTCATTTCCCAGCTCTCCTTCTGCGGTCCCAGCATCATCAACCACTTCTACTGTGACATCAGCCCTCTGCTCAACCTCTCGTGCACCAAGCGGCGAGTTGCTGAGATGGTGGACTTCATCTCGGCTTTGTTTATTTTGCTGATTCCCCTCTCTGTCATTATAATTACTTACATCTACATCATCAGCACCATTTTGCTCATTCCCAAGGCCCAGAACAGGAAAAAAGCCTTCTCCACCTGTGCTTCCCACCTGGCTGTGGTCATCATTTTCTTCTCAGCCACCCTCTTCATGTACGCCCGGCCCAGGAGTGTAAACTCCAGGGATCTCAACAAGCTGGTTTCCATCATTTATACCATAGTCACTCCAATGCTAAATCCATTCATTTACTGCCTCAGGAACAGGGAGGTAAAGGACACTTTATTGAAGGCCTTTTGCAGTAGGGCTGCTCTCCCCAGAGTTTCTGCATCCAGTCACTGATGTAATGTCTGGAAGATAATCTTCCAAATCAATGTGTCTAAATCCTGTGAAAATCTAGTAAGATTTTTACTTTGACAGAAATTGTTATTTAGGGTTGTCTTTCAACATCAGTGCTTAACAATTCCTTCTCCTGAGCCAATCTGTGTGTTCAGATAAAACCTATGAATCTGTGTGAGTATAAAAGGTTTTTCTAACTGAACACATCCCACATCATTCCTGAGGAGTAGAAAAGGCAAGAAACATAATTGCCTGCTCTTAATGTATTTTTTTAGTATGCATCAAAGAACAATATTTCATTCTGACCTTGATCCAACATAACATGAAACTAGGATTCAAGAACCTGAGGCACCAAATAAACAGTTATGTCAACTTTCTTCACAGGAATGAGAATGGGAACTTCAGTAATTCAGATAATAACAGTCATTTTAGATAGCTGTGATAGGAGACCATGAACCACCACTGAGAAATTTCTTTATTAACTTCAGATACAAATTTGGAAAGTAGCTCAGATTCAGAAAACAAAGCTTGACTTTTGGAGAAGAGGGTTAATTTGCATAATTTAATTTCAATTTGAAATGCTAAATGAGCCTCCTGATTTTTAAATGTTATTTTCCTGTGGTCCTTCAACATTACATGAGGAGATACAAGCACTAAGAGAAGAATCAGTTGTCTAAACACTTTCCTAAAGTAACATTCAAAGGAGAGGGTCAGGAAGAACTTTTGGGTAATTTAACACACAGATGCAAAATCTTGCACCAGCAGGCCTGATGGTAAATGATCCTTGACTCTGTTACCCAGGACTACATCAACATTTCTGTGTCCAGTCTGGCACTTCCCACTACAAGAAGGACAAAAGGGACAGTCCAGCAGAGAGTTACCAAATGACAGAAGGGTGGGACCACACAGCATACAGAGACAGATGGAAGCAGTTATTTAAGTCTGGAAAAGAGAATGTTGAGGAGGTGCATAGCTGCAGTCTGCCATCACCTGAAGATGATATATATATATATATATATATATATCATATATATATATATATATCATATATATCATATATATATATAATATGTATATATATATATATATATATATATCAATCATATATATTATAGAGGAGATAGAGACAATTCTTAATTGTGCATGCCTGAAAAGACAAAAGCATCAGGAACTTGTTCCAACAAATTAAATTCAGATAAGATAGTCCAAAAAAAGGAAAAAAAATCAAACTAAATCAATCAGAGTGATGAAGCACCACAACACAGTCCCAGAAAGGTAATAAAATCTCTGTGCTTTGAGCTTTTCAAAGCTTTTCCTGACAAGTCCCTGAAAAACCTGATCACCCTGATCACCTGATATGTTTGTGACAGCAGAGTGAGTTAAAATATTCAGGAAGTAAAGTTCTGTCCTTCCAACCCAAGTTTTTGTAAGATTCTCTGATCTGGATGTCAAATGGAAAAGCCTGTGGCATCTCAAACTGCAACAAAAATTGATGTGTAGGGAAGTGAATCTGGCTGTAGGTACCCCCTGAGTAGATTTCAACATTTGAGTAATATGTTCAGTATTATCCAGGGAATGGATGCTCTCCAGATTATTCCACTGGGGAGCCAAGAACTGGATGCAGTACTCCAGATGTGAATATATTTATAATTTGACTTGCCTTTTATAGCATAACTCTCCCCATATCTCTCTTACATCAGCTGTGGCTTGGTCTAGCTGAGAGCTTAAAATTTCAGAGGTACTAAAATCTCTCAGGGAAACTGTTTAAGCCCTGTTCTGACCTCACATTTTCTAATGGCCTAAATAGCAATAAATCACTGTCTTTGTTCCTTTCCATAGCTTGTCACTGTTAGACCACAGCACAGCCTCCAAAACCCCACATTGAACAAACCCAGCTACAGCAACTTCTTTTCATGGTGCATGGACCCCGAGTCATATCTTCACATCTTAGCAGGCTTTAGTAAGCACTTCTCTAGTTTATCCACATTTTCCTTGAATTGCAGGGATCCCAAAATTGGTCCATGGTAGTTGGACCCTCACCAGCCTAACAGAAATGAGGTAAGAACCAACACTCATGCTCCTGACAACACTACTCTCCCTTCTCCATGCACTTACATTATTTTAAGGTTGTTGTCTTATTGAGATGCCCTTACACCCCTCAGCATGCACAAATGGCTTTGGCCAGTAGTTAGAATTCAATCAGCATATTACAAGGTATGTCAAATGTTACTAGATTCTTACATATTTGCAAAATAAATCAAACTGTATGCTCCAACAGCCAAATAACTTCTGTAATTCCAGCTCTCCTGGATGCTAAACTCCCACTATTCTCACTGTGTGAACGTAATTTTGGTTCTGGCTTAAGATATCTGATTCACATGAGACCAGCTGGAAGGAGATTTTACAAATAGCTGACTCCAGGGCTGGCTCCCACCTGGCAGTATGGAGAGGAGCAGCTCAGGTTTTGTACTCTTTGGGCTGCAGGATCCTGCAGCAGCACCTCAGCCCTGCTTGGGAGGCAACTGAACTCCAGCTCACTGTTATCTCTGATCCTCCTTTTGCTCTGAACATATTTGCACTGTATTATAAAATTCAGAAAATGCATAGCTTGGCTATTTGTGTGTCTGAAGATTGTGCACATGGCTTTGATGTGGGTGAAACTACATTTACCCAAAATCACTTACACCAAAAGTGATTACCCATTAAAGTTACTGATTTAGGTTAGGGCACTAAAATATTTTCCTAGATTACCTTTTGGTTAAAGACTGCCATATCCTCTGCCTCAGGGTATGTTTTTATTTTCCTCTGGCCTATAAAAATCAGTAGCTATTGTATTTTTTCATTGTTCAGTGTCTCAGAAAAAAGTCTTCAGAGTTTCTTCAACTCTGCATGGAATCACAGAGGTAACAATAACATCTCTGCTCTTTCTGTGATTGCTTCCATTGGGAGGTCAGCTATAATTTGTGAATCAGATCTCATGAGACACCAAAGTTAAATAAAGTGTTGATTTATCTGTGCTGGTATAAATCACACAACTGACATACCAGTCTACACTTCATCTGTACCCTACTGATCATATTCTCCAGGATCAACTCAGGCAGTGGATTCCCACTACAGAAGGTTGAGAAGAGTTTTATTTTTAATAGCACAGGCTGAGCCATTCTTGTTTTTGAAGGATTAATCTGAGTTAGTGGCACACAAACCCAGAATTATAATTTGCTTGTACTTATGCTGTATCTGGATGCTATGTGTACCATATCAATAGATTTTGTGTAGATGTGTTTAAACTTCTAGTGGGCTCCTTCAGATGTGTCTGAAGGTGTTTTTTATTATCAAAATGAATATATCCTTGTGGTACTTTGCAGTTCCCTTACAGTTCATGGAATATATATGATATAACTTTAGAAATGTTTAGATGTAGAAGCTAAGTATTTGAAATGTAAATGTCTATCTATAACCTCATAAGCTGTCATTTCTTTGTACTGGATGGATAATATATTAGCATCATTCATCATTTGTCTTGGATGTCTTAGATGAGTCAATATTTGTAATGTGTGTTTATCTCTATGAAATGTAAATTTAAAAGCATGGTTTAATTTTTAAAGTGAAAAATTCTGAATTGAGCAGATAAATTTCACGAAGTTCATTTCTAAAAACCCAGAAACAAAATGCCTGAACTTTTACAGTCTTTAAGTGGTGATTTAACCTATGGCTATGAATTTAAGCATGCATAGTTAGGTGTCATTGTATTAATTTATTGCAGGTGGATAAGGTTCATCTTTCTTCTGCAGAATGGGGGGGAGGAATGAAACCAAAGTCACGTATTTCATTCTCCTGGGTTTTCCCACCACTGGTGAACTGCAGCTGCTTCTCTTCTCTGCTTTACTTCTGGCTTATTTATTAACTGTGCTGGAAAACTTCCTCATCATTCTCACCATCCAAACTAACCACAGCCTGCAAAAACCAATGTATTTCTTCCTAGGGAATCTGGCTTTCTTAGAGATCTGGTATGTTTCTGTCATTGAGCCAAAGATGATCATAGATGTCCTGTCTCATGACAAACGTATCTCATTCCAGGGGTGCATGACACAGTTGCATTTCTTTGTGACTTTTGTTTGTACTGAGTATGTTCTGTTAGCTGTGATGGCCTTTGACCGCTTTGTGGCCATATGCAAACCCCTCAGATACCCTCTCATCATGAACCACAAGCTTTGTGCTCAGCTGATAGCTGGCTGTTGGATGTGTGGTTTGATCACTTCTTCCATCAAGCTGAGCTTTATAGCCCGACTCTCATTCTGTGATGTGGACAAAATCAATCATTATTTCTGTGATATTTCTCCCCTACTGAATATCTCCTGCAGTGATTCCTCTTTGGCTGAGCTAGTGGACTTCATCTTGGCTCTGCTGGTTATCATGATACCTCTGTGCACCGTGGTGGCCTCCTATATTTGCATCATGTTCACTGTGTTGAAGATTCCTTCTTCTCAGGGGAGACAAAAAGCCTTTTCCACCTGCAGCTCCCACCTGACCGTGGTGATTTTGTTTTATTCCACCACACTTTTCACTTATGCCCACCCTAAGCTCATGTACACCTATCGTGCCAACAAGCTGGTGTCAGTCCTGTACACGGTGGTTGTGCCACTTCTGAATCCTCTCATATATTGTCTTAGAAACAAAGAAGTCAGGGCTGCCATGAGAAAGACTTTTACTTGCAGAAGATGCACCAAAGAAATCAACTGAAGAGCCCCAGAAAAGGGGCTTCGCTCATGAAGATCAACTGGCAGTGCTGGTGAGCTGAAATCAGGAGGTCCAAATCTTAATCCATGCCAAACTCTCCTATCCATGCAAACACTACTCATATTTATTGGACTAGACCTTAATATATCTAAGTTAAATCTATGTACTTACTATGGCTTTGACTTGAGATGTTTGGGTTTGGGGATTTTTTGCTTGTTTTTCCTGTAAGAATCTATGCTGTCACCCTTTCTGAAAAGTCTCTGGCTGAATGACTACTCCATTTTTAAAGAGGTTTGAAAATGCTAGAAAATGAACCCCTAGAAGGAATAGAGTCCATAAAACATTATAAAATGCATGTGAAAATCAGCTATGTGTGATTTATTTAGTCCAAGATTTTGTCATTGTCCCTTGAAAGAAACAGGCAGCAGAAAAGGATGGGTAATTGAAATATTCTTAGATACCTGGTGTAGGATTAAAGGAACCATCCTCTGAAGTAGAAAATGTTTCTAATATGGCATTAGAGAAGGTATAAAGTGAGTAGCTCACGGTATTCATATGGTACAGCTGCATTGTCACTGGGGCTCTGTTTCAGCTTCACAACGGGACCAAGATACCCTAAATAACCTCATTGCACACCAAATAATGTTTTCCATGAAGAAATTCAGACATGCCTGAAAGGATAAATCACGTCAATACTTCCTTCAGGCTGCACAAACCTTGGATCCAGCAGTATTTCTTCAGGAGTAATGATCTCATGCAGGAGCTGGAAACACAGCTGGTGAATCTGAGCTAAACACAGATCATCTGTGAGAAAATCTGATGTTAAATTAGAAATAAAATGGTGTCTCCGAGAAAACTGCACTGTGTTCAGACTATCACAGTGCTCCAGAACTTTTAATATTCTGTAATAAACAAACAAACAAACAAATCTGTCAGCAGAGTGCATCTCCATGTGACATATTAAATCTGGGTTTATGACTAAGACCGTGGTATCTGATATTCTATGCTCTGTACTAGGATACTGACTTCTCTGGTTTTGCAGATGCAACTTTCAGATTCCAGGAATAAACCTGGAAGAAACTTGTCTGTGCATACTGTGCCATGTATTGCCAATTGTTTCAAACAAGACTTTTTTGTTAAGTGTTGAGGAGAGATGTCAGGAACAGCTTGACTTTAACCATAGTGGGGAGCTCTCACCAGAAATGCAGTGTGCTGGCTGTAATCCAGGCATTAGCACAAAATCTGCTATGAGAAAATAGGTGATTGACACAAAATGAATATACATTACAATATGAACCATTGCAAAGGAAAAACAGAAAAAAAATCCAGTAGTTCTTTAGATTTGCATCAAAATCAAGAGCCACATATACACAGCTAGATATGAATTCTTCTAAAAATACCTAAAGTTTAGACATGTCTATTTAGACATCTAAATAAACTACCCTCAGCTCCTTTTCTACACATGGATATGGGCTGTCACCCTATAAATATGTTATTTATCTGTAACATATGCTTTTCTGTTCAGCCATCTCCAAGAAAATGGGGATCCTAATGGTTACTTTGGAAGAGACATCCCTTTCTCCTTTTTCCTGCACTTTTTATTGCTGAGCATGACGCCACATGGTCTGGAATGTCTCTCTGGTCCCCTCACAGCTTCTTGTTCCCTCCCAGCAAGAACTGAAGCATTCCTGTGTTCTCAATATGGTTTTCATCATAAATCCAGAATTTAGTCCCATACCAGCTACAGTGAAGTAATTTAATTCTATGTAAGACAAAACCAGTACAGGATCAGGCTCTCTTCATTCTTATTGCAATACATTAAAGTACTGATACACCAATAATCACACAATCTATTTCTTCTCTTATTTCAGTTTTTCATATATAAAGTGCAAACCATAGCATTTCAGTACCCTTAGTGAGTTTTTCATTGAAATTTGGCAATACAGAGATTTGGCTACACACATTGGATGGTTTGAAAGAACTGATCTGAAGTGATTGTTTTGAAATAATGTCAGGAAAATCCTTCAAATACACTGTTAACAGGATTATCATCCAGTTATTATTTGGTTTATGTACACTAATAATAATGTTGTTAGAAAACCTGAAACAAATAATTCATAACCTATTCAATAGGGGTTCCTAAGTGATCTTAGGGAAGGAGAGAACACAGAAAAGTCTTACACAAACACAAACCTTTTGAGAATGCAACTTCTCTCTTGCATCTAAGTTTATTTCTAGAAGTTTTCCTAATAAAATATTTCTCAAAGTCAAGTTTGGGTGCCTTTAAAGTACTGTAATAAGTCACTACCCATCGGTAAAGAAGGTAAGAGTCCAATCTTAGCTTCCAAGGAACTTTCCATCTCTCTCAATCTTACAGCCTCAGGGAGCTGATAAGAATGCATGCAAATGTAAGATAGTCTGGGTTTAGAAGATATTGATCTATTGTCAGTCACAAAATTTGGAAAGCCATTATATCAAGAATAGAAGCTCTATTTCATGCAGATTTATTTAAAACCATGTGCCAAAACAAAGAAAATGTAATATAGTCTACTGTAACTAAATGTGATGCTCCTGTGCTGAGAAGAATGCAAGTTTGCTTTTTGAAGAACAGCCCCACCCCAGGGTGTCTGAGGTACCCAAACAGGAGTTGTGAGATGCTTTTTCCCTTCCTGGAGTGGTTGCTGCACTCCAGGGCAGCGTTCCCATAGAGGCTGGACCCTCCCCTGAATCATACATCTGCATTTCAGATGGTGAGTGTGCTCCTCCTGCCAGCCAGAGAAGAGAACACATTTAGTGAATCTTGATTTTGTGTAGAGAATAGAAGCATCATTGCTTGGGGAGAAGCCAACGGTGTCTGTTCTATTTTGATAATCTGGAAAGACGCAGATTCTAATGACTAATGAGGTCTTGATTAGGTCCACAGTGTTTTGCTTAGCACAAAGAAATCTACAAGGGGCAGGAAGGGTTCTGCATAAGAAGCAGGGAAAAAAGTAGGGGTAGAAGACACACAGAAACATCTTTACACTTTATTGTTTGTGTTTTATTCCTTATTATTTTATTCCTTCTATTCATTTTGGTTTGTTTTTTTTCTCCTTTTGCAGGCAAAGAAAAATGGCATAAGGGAAAAATATCTCATTTGAGGTTCAGATGTCTGCTGTGAAGGTTCCGGACTGGAAATCGATTCCCTGGTGTCTTTATGTACACCCATTAAAGTATATATAAGCAACATCCTAAGGACAACGCCCTTAGAACCAGTCAGATGAAAGTCCAGTGATGTATTGACTACAAGAGACTACTGAAAAATCAGCTGAGTAGAAAAAATATTCGGTATTTTTTGGCAATGTGCTGAAGAAACCTGAATTCCAAAAAATTAAACCTGGCTTTAATGACTGTATTAAAAGGTATGTGTATTGTGGGGTGTGAAATCTGAGCTTTGCTTTGTAAAATGTAGTGACAGAACTGGACTAAAAATTGTTTTTTTCTTTTCATTATATAGCATGTAATAATCAGGGCTTATGAATGAAATTACTTTTTCTGGAAATTAAGTACATTAACAGGGAGCCAGTATTTAATGTGTCTGCATTTAGACTTTCTGTTTGATCAACCAAGAGACAGATAGTTCCAGAGACTTCTCAGATGAAACAATAATCTTCCCCTCACTGGCTAAAAAAGTATCTTCAGCATCTTCATTCTTTGCTGAGGTTTTTGTTAGCATATTTAAAAATCCATCTACTTAAAGCAGCAGTAATTGTTATTTCAACTAAACAATTTTTGATAGGATGTAGGATATCCTTCAATGGACAATATGGTTGATTATCATGAAATTATTTCGTAAGTTTACATCTATTACTTAAATAATTGATGCTTACACATCAAACCAGAATAAAAATAAGAATTTAACAATAAGGTCAATTACATAAGCCAAGACCACACATCTGTTTAATGGCTGACCATAATGACACAAGATTTTGATGTTTTCTTTTACATTATTGTGGACAAAAGTATCTCTCTTTTTCTTATTATCTTCTGGCTAGACTTATTTTTTTTTCTAACAAAGACAGCACTTCTAAGGGACTGGTTTTCCTTTGTTTTGAACAGGTAGGGTGAGACTAAAAGAATCACATGTGGATGCATCTATTTCTCTCTTTTAACAATAGAGGAAGCTTTAGGAATAGTGAAAGCTGTAGACAGCAGGCTTGAAAAGGCTTTGACTGGATACTTGACCCTGACCGCCTAAACCTGAGCTCTCTGCACACAAAAACCCCCAAGAAAACCAGTCAAAATATTGGATGAGCAAGAGCAAAGAGAAATTCTTTCTCCAAATTTATTTCCCTTTCCTAAGACTCGTGGGTAAATAAGAACAAAGGATTAAATAGAGCTTCTGAGGGTACCTAGAGCTGAGGCTACATTTCAAGGACCATGAAGGACTAGCTGGAGAAATGTGTTAAAAAATAATTCAGTGCTTTGAAAAGATTAGGAATGTGCTGGTTAAGAAAAATTATCTAATGGAAATGCCAGCAAACCAAACAAAATGCCAGTAACTGGATGAGGATTTCTGTCACTCAGCTTTTTACATCTACATTCATCTTTTCACAGACAGAATAGCTGGAATTTCCTTTAGATCAATGGAGAAAACCAGAAAATCTTAAAGCATGATTCATACCTTCTATAGTAAATATTCTAAAGCTGGAATGTTTATCACTGTCCACTGAATTTAAAAGCATCCAAACTGTGAGTTCTAATGTAGGCATCAACCCACAGAATATATTCAAGCCTAGATATGAGGACAACTAGCTTATGAAAATAAAATTACTAAATAGAATTGAAATGGAATTACTTGAAACATTCTGTCAATTAGTCAATTTTTAACATACTGTGTGAATTAACATTTGAGAAAACTTATTTCAGAAATCTCAACGTTTGAAGGGTTTTTTTTTCAAGTACTTTAATAAAAGAAAAAACTCCATTTCTCACATGAAACAATGTGGTTTTTTAAAAATAATAGACTTGTTTTTTTTAAAAAAAAAGTTATCCACATTATTTTAATACATTTCTTGGCTCATTTTCAATGAGTTTCAATTCATTTGTTTTCAATTCTTTTGCATCATCTGAAGCAGAAAATTCCCTTGTTCTTTTGCTTAGGGTAGAGCAGATATTTGTGAGTTAGTTGCAATCTTGGTATGAGATTTTTTCTGCCCAGTTAAATCTGAAAGAGGTCTTCAACTGTAGAATGAAATGTCTGCTTCTATTTGGTTTTAAAGTTTATTAAATTAAAATATGTTGGATAAGCTGCATGCAGAATGTTTCTTTATACTGAAGATAATATTACAGGATTATTAGTTTACAAATTACCCTGTAACCATTGAAAAAAATCTGAAGATATGATATATTAATGAATTTTATATTTTTTGCCATCTGTTACTCTGTATTTAATATTTCTTATATTTCATATATCTCATTGTCTTATTCTTCTATAATTGCTTCTCCAGGCAAACTACCTGAAATTTACTGCATCCTAATTTCCTTTTGGAACATCATCTGAAAGCAAAGATGGAAAACCACACCAGGATAAGTGAGTTTGTTTTGGTTGGGTTCAAATCCCACCCAGGATCACAACTCCTTCTCTTTGTTCTCTTCTCCTCCATGTACATTGTCACTGTAGTGGGAAATGTCTGCATGATACTCATCATCAGGATGGACTCCAACCTGCACACCCCAATGTACTTCTTCCTAGAGAACTTGTCCACCTTGGACATCTGTTATTCCTCTGTCATCACTCCCAGGGCAGCACTGGCATTCTTACTGGGCAGAAGAAGCATTTCCTACAATGGCTGTGCTTCACAAATGTTCTTCTTCTCTCTTTTTGGTACAACAGAAGCCTTCTTCCTTGCTGTGATGGCTTATGATCGCTTCACTGCCATCTGCAATCCACTGCTCTATCAAGTCATTATGAGCAGAAGGCTTTGTGTTCTCATGGTGATGGGCTCTTACCTGTCAGGCTGCATCAACTGCACCATCCAGACAGGTTTCACGTTCAGTTTGTCCTTTTGTGGGCGCAGGGAAATAAACCACTTCTTCTGTGATGTTGCTGCAGTGATCCATGCCTCCTGTTCCAACACACTCGTCAATGAGCTCGTAATGCTGGCTGTGTGTGGATCAATAATTGTGGGCACTGCCTTGGTGGTTTTTATCTCCTATGGTTATATAATCATCACTATCTTCCAAATGCCTTCAGCTGAAAGCAGGCACAAGGCCTTCTCCACCTGCTCTTCTCACATGATGACAATCTGCTTGTTCTTTGGGACAGTCTTCTTCATGTATGCTCAGCCTGGAGCCACATCTTCACCCAATAAAAGCAACACCATCTCAATCTTCTACACTATTGTTATTCCCATGCTAAACCCTTTCATTTACACCCTCAGAAACAGGGAGGTAAAAGGGTCTCTGAAAAAGCAGTTAAAAAGGAAAGGGATTTTTTAGCATGTTTGCTGAGGTTGAGAATGAATATAAGTGTCCAATTTGGTACAGAAAGATGCTTAGAATGTAAAATAAAGGACATCAGGACTTGCTTTAAAGAGTCTTTTGTGTTTCTAGATGGTCAGTTGTGGAGAGGGCCCACAGTGGGCTGAGGGTCAGATGAAAGAGTTAACAGAAGAGAAGAAGCCAGCAGAATTTGTATGTTTGTGAGAAGAAGAGAAAGAAGATAAAGGTAGAGGAAAACAAAAAAACATCTGTGTTGCAAAAAACACCATGGAAAACCAAGATCTATCTGTATTTTGGATTTTTGGGGATACTTTCTCAAAACAGTGCTTCCACCAATGGACTTGAGGGCTGGTGTGGTGATGGGCAACGAGATGGGGTGCACTGTGGGGTCAGGAGGGTATAAAAATGCTATGTATGGGCACAATAAAGGCTTGGACAAAGTTTCTTACAGATCTGCTTTGTGCTGTGTCTGCTCTAACAGTGACAGTCAGTAAAAGCAGGAAATATAAACAAATCTACAAGAATCTAGTCATTGTTATTTCAACTAAACAATTTTTGATAGAATGTAGGATATCCTTCAATGGACAATATGGTTGATTATCATGAAATTATTTCATAAGTTTACATCTATTACTTAAATCATTTACACTTACACATCAAACCAGAATAAAAGTAAGAATTTAAAAATAAGGTCAATTACATAAGCCAAGACCACACATCTGTTTAATGGCTGACCACAGTGACACACAATTCTGACATTTTGTTTTGCATTATTGTGAACAAAAGTGTCTCTTTTTTTCTTATTCTTGTCTGGCTAGCTTTATTCCTTTTCTAGAGCAGATGAAAGTCTGGTTTCATTAACCATAATTAGACATTTACAATGCATCTGACCTGTAATTTAGAGGCCTTTTATAGCCATTCAAAAGATACTAGAATTTTAAAGCCATAATTAATGCTATTGGATCAGACAGTTTGATGAGTATCTAAGTGTACTGAACATCTAAAATAGAACACAAAACTCAGACTCATGCAGTACCTCATTTCTGTGCATTGGAACACAGCCAGTTCAGGTGGAGGCATTCTCACTGTACACATCCACAGCTAATTTAAGTCAGACAAGAGTGAACTAGAAGATTTAATTGTCTGTAGTATTTCTAATTTTGTCTTTCTAGGAAGTTCTATCCAGTGAAACACCATGAGACAGAGGGTTGTGGGGGGAGAGGGGGGAAATACAAGTTTGAGACATATCCAAAAGTCCCTTACAACTCTTTTTTTGGACAGTTTACACTGTAGTACCTACTAGGCTGTCCTGAGGTACAGCCTTCTGCCCTTTATGGAGGAGTTCAAAGGAGAATGTGCATTCAGCACCTTCAGCTCACCATCATGACCTATCCAACAGAGGCTTAGCAGACCACACTGTGTTTGGAGAGCAGCTCCAGCTCACACCTTTCCAACAGCATGTGCCACACAGAAAACACCTGCTCATCTCCACCTTTCATCCTGTGAAGCACAGAGACACATCTTCCTGTGCAAATAACTCTTTAAGTCTCAAATTTCCAAGCTGGCTCCTCCTAAAAAGCCCATTTCTCCCTTGCTTAACCACAGGACATAGCACTTTTATGGAGCTGGTGGAGAGAGGGACAAGGAGAGCTGCTGCTGCTTAGTGAAGCAAGGGAGACACCACTCCTGGAAGTGCTCAGAAAGAGCTTGGACACGGCACTCGGTGCAAAGATTTAGCTCACACGGTGATGTTCAGTCAAACACAAAGATCCTGGAGGTCTTTTCCAACCTTGATGGATGGATGGATGGATGGATGGATGGATGGATGGACAGGTGGTGTAATGGCTATGGCTGTATGTGCAGACAAGGATAGATGATTAGGTGGACTAAGCTGGATAGGTAGGTAGAAATATCTCTAGCATTTGTTGCTGCTCCAGAAGAGCCACCAATGTGTAGAGATCTTGCCTGCAGGCTGTCGTCACCCTCTGTTCTTCACACAGGTAAAAGGAGCTGACACTACAGACAACTCTGCGTGAAGCAAAGGCTGCTCCAGCTGCCTTTAGGTGGGAAGTTGTATCTCCAATGTGTTTCATTGCATCTCAGAAGAGATGTTTCAAGCCCAGTGGCAGAATTACATCCTTGAAAGATTTTCTTTTCCCATGGCCCCAAGGAGACATGCAAGCAGCTGCCAGAGAAGGGAGGCTCCGGGTCAATGAGAACAGCCCCTAATTCCCATCTGCACAATTCTCTGTTTTCTACTAGCAATATTTAAAATATTTCATAGAATAACAGAATCGTAGAATCTGACTGTTTTGGGTTGAAAGGACCCTAAAGCTCACCTCGTTCCACGCCCTGCCATGGGCAGGGACACCTCCCCCATATCCCAGGCTGCTCAAGCCCTGTCCAACCTGGCCTTGAGCACTTCCAGAGATGGGACAGCCACAGCTTCTCTGGGCATTCACTCCTGCGCTTTTATCGACCTGGTAAATCGCCCTGAGCAACTCCTCGGGTGCCGTGTCAGCGCTGCTGCCCTGCTCAGCGCGGTGCCAGGCCCGGGCCGTTCCCGGAGTGTCCCCTCGGCCCGGGCCGTTCCCGTGTCCCCGGCCCCGCTCTGTTCCGTTCCCGTATCCCCCGGCCCGGGCCGTTCCCGTGTCCCCGGCCCCGCTCTGTTCCGTTCCCGTATCCCTGGCCCGGGCCGTTCCCGTGTCCCCGGCCCCGCAAGGGCCTCCCCCTCGCTAGGGGGCGCCGTGCGCAGCGGGGGGCGCATGCGCGGGGGCGCCGCTCGGCGCATGCGCAGCTCCGCAATGCGGGTGGTGGTGGGTGAGTGCGGGCCGTGAGGAGGG